ACTCAATAGCTTCCCTAGGTAAGGAATTGCCTATTTTAGGCTAATTTTATTAATACTGTAAGAGTATTAAAATAATATATGAGAAACTTGATATATACTCTAACAATGCAACATAAGCTTTAATGACTAGAACAATTATGGTTATGATTAGAATATCAATAAATTGTCAAGCCCATTGACAAAATAATGTTCCAAGCCCGTTGTCCATATCTACCTGGGATTTCTATTTCCCTTGGTTTCTCTTAAGCTGTGCTTGCTTTTTTCTACGTTAATGAATACCTCCATCTCCCAAAGACATGGGACCATACTGATACCCAAGACACACCAGCTGCAACTCTTCAAGTTTTGAGATCTGGGGCCAAGAGACAGCACAGAGGGTAAAATGCCCATCTTTCCACCTTTCATAGCATACATGCAACCCCAATTTGATTCCTGGGACCGCTGATGGTCCCCTGAGTACCACCAGGAGTGATCACACTCCCTGAGCACATAGCCAAGAGTACAGACAAGTATGACCCAAACCAAAATCCCCACTCCCACCAAACAAAAAAGTTTTGAGCTCAATAGAAGTATAAAGATGTAAAGATGATAATAAAGTGAGTTAAGGCAATGGCACTAACCAATGGCCAAGTGGTGACCAGATGTTAGAACAAAGAAAGAATTCTATTTTGTAGTCATGCTTACAGCAATGAGTCAAACTACATCTCACAGAGTTTTACTAATGAAATTTGGTTTAAATTCAAGACCACTGCCATCTCTGAACAATTTAAGTATGGTGACTGATCTCTTGATATTGAAACAACTTGCTTTAAGTTGAAGGAGCATTTGAAATAGGAACCAAATTTCCACGAAACACTCAATATGCAGAGAATAGAAAGACACATGGTCTAACTCACTCTCAGTTGACTGTTTTTATATATTGAAGTAACATGGTCTGCATTATAATTAATGTTTATACTTCAGTCAGACAATGCTACTGCAGTACATCCCATTGCCAAAATGTCAGTTGACTGGTTCTCCTGGGCATCCTTCTCAGCCAGCCTCTCCTGTCTCTGCAGGGCCTTAAAGATGAATGCCTGGAGGCTTGGCTGGAGGCTCTGCAAATGTTCTGGCTTTGCTCTGCTCCTAGAATGCCCATCTGCTAGTTATCCCTTCAGTTAAAACCTCTCTAGGGGCCAGATAGATAATACAACGGGTAAGGCACTTGTCTTGCACACAGCCGACTCGGGGTCAATTCTCAGCATCACATATGGTACCCAGGAATGATCCCTGAGCACAGAGCCAGAAATAAGCATGGAGCATAGCTGGAAGTGGCTTCCAAACCCAAACCAACCAATCAAAAGAACAAAAATACCTCTGTAGAATACTCACAGTATTGCTTGGCCACTGATTCCCTCCATAAATTTAGTATCCCTTTTGCAAAACATTGGGAACGGGGTTAGGGTCATGCCAAATGGAGCTTTGGGATTCCTCCTAGCTATGAATTCATGGGTCACTTGGGGAACTCTGTGGTGATGGGGACTGATCTGGACTCAGCAGCATGTAAGGCAAGCACCTTAACCACTTTACTATCGCTTTGGCCCATCTAAAACTCTTTGGACTTCTATTGCTGTCTCAAATTTAACACATTCAGAATCAAAGTCATTATCGTTGTTTTCCTTCTTCCTCCTACTCCCATATATTCATATATTGGCACTGTGTTCGGCTTAGGGAACCTGTGAAAAGCCTATTCCCAAACTGTAGAATCACAACTTAAGAACTGAAAGAAAATAGTGCCTTGTCCCTTATTTTACAAAATAAGTCACCATGTTTTGTAACAAGGCAACAGAAACTATAGCTGAAAGTCACTTTGCTTTTAGCCATACTAGGAATTCAACCTCAAATTCCTGACTTGGTGATTTCCATCAGGGGCATCATTTTCCCTATCCCTATCTGATTATGGCTTCAATCTGAGAAGACAGCATGTCTCAAGCTCCATGACTAGGCAATAATAAAGCACGTTAGTGTTGTTCTCTCGTGTCTTCCCTCTCCTTTGCTTTCTGACGATGGTGACTGTTCCAGGTCCGCATCTCCCTCACACATCATCCTGAATCTGCTGGCAGAGATGTTCAGTCTCCCTGGCCCTTCAGGTATCCCAATGTATCACCCATGCCATCCTGTATGCCCCCCTCCAAGTAACCTAAAAGTGTGAACAAGACCATCTTTACAGTGCTTCTGAATTCACTGAGTCCTGCTCTCAACCATGCACTGAGGCTGATACCAGCATGCTGTGTGGAGGACTGGGCTGTAGACCGGGGAAATGCTGCTTCTGCCTCTTAGAGAATCCCCTTCTCTTGGGCCAATATTTGTGAAACTCTGTTGGCTACAAAAATTCCTTTCTTTCAAGGCACACACATTGTCATACTTCCAATACAGGGTTTGCAGGAACGGACAATGAGAGATGACAGCCTGGAGGCTCCATCACAGCAACTTGCCAAGGCGGCCCAGATTTCTCCTACTCTCCTTTCCCGCTCCTCACACTTTCCATGACTGCCTGGTTCCAGAGAACCTTCTAATGCATTCCTCTTGACTATAATGCAAAACAAGTAGTTTTTCTTTCCAAAACAAGTGTTTTTGTAATTTCTGCTGCAGAAACAGTCTCCTTTTTTCCTTTCCACTGGATTAAACTCTATGCTTTCTCCAATGTTTAATTCACATACCTGCTCTTCTATTAATTCTTTCATAACTTCCTAACCCAAACTACTATATAATTTATTTGTGTGTAATGGGAAACCCAAATATCAAGCACGAAAACAAATCCAGTTCACATTCGGTGGAGAAGCTAATGAATGGCAGTCTTTCCCCATCACACACTTTCAAATATAATTTACAAAGTAAGATTATATTACAATCATGTATAAGAACTGCATTTTGCCAAATCCATCAGTATCTTTAAGTAGGGAGCAAAAAAGACTTAACATCAATAAATAATTCACAATAGCTGTCACTGAGTTCCACTATTTTAACCAGAATAACTTTAATAAGATTTGAGGAAAATGTCATGCCTTCATTTTTTATTCCACAGAAATTGTCAAGAACAAGTTAATGAGTATTTATGAGACGAAAGCCTAAATGGTGTGGAGAGAAGACAAAACCATTACAAATGCCACAGACTCCGTATATACTAAATAAATATTACCTGCTTCTTTTTCCAGCATTTCCCACCCAATCTAAATGAAGTAGGTGTCCTTAATTTAAAAGGCATCATTTCTGTATACACTGAAGAAAAAACACTTTTTCCTTTTAAAGTTTAAATGATGCCCCTTTTTTGTTTGTTTTTGTTGAGGGGCCAAACCTGGCAGTGCCCAGGGCTTACTCCTAGCTCTGTAATCAGGGATAAATCCTGATGGGGCTCAGGAGATCATATAGGGTGCTAGGGATCAAATCTGGGTTGGTGTGTGCAAGGCTACCCACTGCACTATCTCTCCAGCCCCCAAATTATGTCTTTGTAAGAAAGTCCAATTCAGTTCTTATCTGGAACTGAGCTGGACATTCTTTTCAATGTGCAATATTTGAAGAAATATTTTAAAGGAACTTTGTTTTTTGTTTTGTGTTTTGGGTCACACTCAACAATGCTCAGGGGTTACTGCTGACTGCTCTGCACTCAGGAATCACTTCTGGTGGTACTCAGGGGACCATATGGGATGTGGGCATCAAACCCAGGTCAGCCGTGTGCAGAGTAAGTGCCCTACCAGCTGTGCTATCTCTCCAGCCTCTAGAAAGAATATTTTAAACGTCATGTTTATTACACCTACACCTCCATCAAGATGCTTTGGGTTCTGGAAGAAGCATGAAGAGAAGAAAATGAGTGAACATTATCTTTTCTGAATTGGATCTGTATAGGATCCCACCTCATCATGACCCTACTACCTCCTGCTGAGATCCAAGACCTGGGATCCCATCAACTTCCAGGAGAGAGTGTGAGGAAGGGCAGCAGTCATGAACCCAGATATCCTGGCCAGGAGGATAAGAAAACCAGGACTACCCAAGACAGTGGCATTTTTCACAAAAGACCCTGTTTTCAACTATGTCCTGGGGTACAAGGTTGTCTTCTCTCCAGCTGGCTGGACTGGTAATGACTGGGCAGCTCTAAGCTGCTGTGGCCTTTCTCAATGCTTCTTTTATCTGTCTGTATCCTTATCTCTCTCCTCTGCCCAGATGTGACATAATTCACAGTCCGAGCAGACAAATACAGGAGGTTCTAGTTGCTTTTGTTTTGGGGAAGCAAGACAGAGGAGTTAAAGGTTGGTTGGTGGAGTCAGACAAACCCCAAAGCCCTCTAGTGATCTCACTAGATAGAGGGCAAGGTCAAAGACTATGTCAGCCCTGCTCATCAATGCCTGGAGCATACCTAGCGCCTGACAAGGAACATGGAATCAGTAAGCATCTACTGAATAAATTAGACAACGCAGGCCTCAGCCATAGTGGTTGGCTGGCCATGTCCAACCAAAGATGGTACTAATTATCATAGACTCTAGAAGGTAAAGGTCAAGGATGATTCTAAACATCCTATAATTTCAGGGCTTATCCAGTCCCATAGGGTAATAGCACAAGAGTTGAGAAACTCAGCTCTAGCAGTAGGCAAATTGGCGATAAACTCTGGATGCTAACTGGCCTTGAACTAGTTACTAAATTTCTGTCCTAATTTGCTCATGATGAGGACCCTGATACTGTATCCAACAAGGTAGTCAATAATAGACACAACTGAGAAAGACGGGGTCTGCACCTCAAGTTTTTAACACAGTCACCAGCACATAGAAAGTGTGACGCTAGAATGGGGCCTGAGAGCGTGTTATCATCAGACCTTAACCAGCCTCCCAACCACCATCAGAATCTTCAGGAGGGATCCTTATGCTTTTAAGACTCACTGTATCAAACTCAGCATGAGAATCCACTTCAAAATGAGCCCTACACTTGCACTTCTGTGAATCCAATCATCAGGTTTCATCTGTGTCACTCACCAGGGGCTCTATGGTGAAGATGCTGTTGAAGAAGAGCATGCTGTCTGTCTGAACCCGCCTGCGCTGATTCTCAAAGGTGCGGGAGAGAATGGAGAGACGTTCTCGAAGTGAAGGATCCACATCACACTCCTTAAGGAACTCATCGGTCTCCTCCTGTTCCTCGTGGGTCAGATCATCACAGGCCCTACAGAAAACAAAGGAAATGGAAGATTCGGTTGGTGTTCCCATGAAGAACTTTGTCGAGGTGCTCCCATCTGAGCCATCCACCTGGAAATGGTCTTGCCCATACCTCCTTGCCTTAAATCTGTAGGAGACTGGCTGGGAGACCCTGCACCTCATCCTCTAGAAGCCTCTGTGTGCTCACTCTTAGCCACTTCCTCATGAAGTACTCCAAGGCTTCCTAATCAATCCCCACTGCTTACTCTGGAGCCCTTACACAACGAAGACAAGTATTTTCCATGTAGCTGTGTTTTCCAAGACAGATTTAAATGCGTTCAAAAAATAAAATAGTTAACATCTAGCATCCCCCCACCTCACAGTTTAAGGATAAATTTGTGTCTTTTAAAATTGCTTAGCTTTAATTCTCCTTAGCTGTTACCTACCTAGCAAATAGAATCTGGGATCAGCAAGGACTAGGTTGGGAGACTGATTCTACTACTGACTGGTTCTGTGCTGAGGGAGTTACTCTGAGCTTCAGCACCCACACCTATGAAACAGAGATGGTAGGAGGCTCTTCCCTGTGACAATTTGATGACTGTTAGCGAGGTGTTGAGCTCACACAAATCTGAAGCGACACCTCAAGAAGTCTCTCTTCCCTCTTCCCAGTGTCCACTGAGATGCATCAGAAAAGTGCCTGCTCTCAACTGTCCACTCATGGTGCTCACTGGGTATGCTCGCATGACTGCTGTGTCAGCTACTACTTCACCTCGACTTTGAAGACTGAGTTGTCTCCCCTTCGTGGGCATGTGCCCATTTCTCTGGCATGTTCTCTCAGTGTCAGTGGTGAGTAATCATTGAGCAATGTGAGTTAGGAGTGAGAACTGGAGCCACACACCCCTTGTGTCCTAGGTAGGGAAAGCCAACCATTTTCCAACTGACTGCATGCACATCACATGCTCAGTGATGCCAAAGACCATTTTAATGATCTTGCCATTCAAAGTTATTCAGTCACACTGCATAAGGAAATTGGGGGAAAATGGATTCCATAGTATGTACAACACACACAATATATATATATATACACACACACAGATATATATATATATATATATATATATATATATATATATATGGGCTGGAGCGAAAGCACAGCGGTAGGGCATTTGCCTTGCACGCAGCCAACATGGCCGACCCGAGTTCGATTCCTCCGCCCCTCTCGGAGAGCCCGGCAAGCTACCGAGAGTATCTCGCCCGCACGGCAGAGCCTGGCAAGCTCCCCGTGACGTATTCAATATGCCAGACACAGTAACAACAAAGTCTCTAATGGAGACGTTACTGGGCCCGCTCGAGCAAATCGATGATAAACAGGAGGGCCTTTACCTTTATGAGCGATAGCACAGCGGGTAGGGCGTCTGCCTTGCACGCAGCCAACATGGCTGACCCGAGTTCGATTCCTCCGCCCCTCTTGGAGAGCCCGGCAAGCTACCGAGAGTATTCGATATGCCAAACACAGTAACAACAAAGTCTCCAATGGAGATGTTACTGGGCCCGCTCGAGCAAATCGATATACATAATGTCGTATGACCTACACGAAGTCAGTCAGGAGAGGAATGCCAACGACCTGATGACCTCATTCATATGTGACACATCAAGAAACAAAGCATATGTGGAGACAACATCCAATGAAAACAAATCCTTAGACTTGGACCACAGAACTAAGGTTTCCAAGACAAGAACGGACCTGGGGACAGTGGTGGAGGGATATTGGTTCTGTGGTGAGTGTGGTGAAGTGACGTAGAACGTCCAAAACAAACAAACTATGGTTACTAAAATTTAAAAAATAAAAGGAAAGAAACAGAGTTTCACATGCCCTGGTCCCAAGAAAGGAAGTGTCCTGTGATTCCCTGTGTTCCCCCCACCTTTTTAAGGGACCCCTCTGCATTTCCTTTCTACTGCAGCTGGGCAGCAGTGTCCAAGGCAACCAGAGCAACAGTCCTTCTGTGGTGGTGGGCAGTGCAAATTAGAGTCAGCTCAATCCACAGGAAGAAAAAATTTCTGAGGGGGAATTTCCTGTTTTGTTTTGTGGCCACACCTGGCAGTGCTCAGGGCTTACTCCTGGCTGTATGCTCAGGGATCACTCCTGGCAAGCCATGGGGGACCATATTGGGTACTGGGGATTAAATCTGAATAGCTATGTGCAAGGCAAATACCCTACCTGCTTTTCTGTCTCTCTAGCCCCTGAGTGGAATTTCTTGATATCTTCCTTCGGAAATACATCTTTGAAGAAATAATAATGGATGTAAACAGAGACACAGCAACAAAGATGTTCATCAAAGTACAAGCAATAATATCAACAAATGTGAATCCATTTGATGTACAAAATTGAGGGACTGATTAAACAAATAATAAGAACTGAAGACATTAGGATTCTTTAAGGGGACTAATGGGAATCGGGTGAAAAAGTCTGATGTGGAACAAGGTTGATAATGCTCCCTGAGCTGAGAAGTAGGATTGCCATTGCCCCAGAAAACAAGAGAACAGCAAAATAGAAATCCCCAACTGCCGCTTCTCTTCCATGCTGTTGGCACTCTTACATCAGTTATGGTTATGAAATGCAGTAGGGGTGACCAGTTGTCTCCCTCTAATGAAAATCAGAGCCGCAGCTGAGCATTCAAGAAGGGAATGTGCAGCCTCACCTCCAGGTTGCTTGGCCCCAGCATGTGCGTATATACCTGAGGTTACTGTCCTGCCACCTGGGCCTGCTTAAGCACCTGGGGACTTGAGCTCACAAGCGGTGCTACTTTATAGATGGAGAGACCACTCATCGGACATATTCCTGACTTGTCTTTCAGCCAACCATAGATCTTGCCCATCTCACAGGTTGCTGTTGGCAACCTCCGGATCATCCAGCTTCTGAACGACAGCCAATGAGTACAGTAGCACACTGAACCCATAACAGTCCCTGTGGGGGCTGAGGCCTGCTCCATTGTAGCCCTCCTCAGAAGAGCTAACTGCATGTGAGAGAGCAAAACTGACCACTGGGAGAGATGCCCAGGTCCACTCTGCCCTCCGGCAGGGAGGGTGAAGCTGTTCACCTACAGTGGGCCCTGCAGTGCACAACACTAAGCAGCTCCGGGTTAACAGCAATGGAATGATGATGAGATTTTTTCTTTTCCTGTTTACCAAGAACCACTCAGGTCTTCAGATTCTTCAGGATCCTAGGAATGGATTACCCCCGCACCCTGTTGTAAGTAAGATTAAATGTACTGCTACCCAGGTGCAGTCTCAAGGACAATTCAAATGATCTGTCTAGAGACACTTATGGCTCCTGACACCCAAATAAAAACCCAAATCAGGCTGGTGCCGTGTGTGGGTTTCATCAAGGATTCATAAGAAATACAGTACAGAGAAAATTTAGAGTCGTACTCCATTTGTTACTAAGATGATGGCCAAAACCTTGGTAGAAAAGGGGGAGTTAGAGGTCCTTAGAAGTCTGTGACAACTCTCTGGCTATTTATAATAAACTTCGATGACAAGGAGTATGAAAAAACCCTGTAGACAGTTTATAGCCCCTCAAAATAAGGCAAAGAAAGAAAGGAAGGATTAATGTACTTTCCATTTCTGAAGAAATTACTCTCTCCACAAGTTACAGAAAAATACTAAGAAAGAGATAGTCCTAAACAGTAATTTTTTTGAAGGTATCTATATCTGATTCCAAAGGCTCAAAAAAATAAATTACAAAGCAGGGGGCTGGTGATAGTGACTGGGGAGAAGAAAATGGACATTAGCCTAAGGCCCTGAGTTGTAGACATGCATCTTCAGGCTGGCACAGACCTGCTGCAGTAGCTGGAGTGGAAAGAAATGAGGAAATGCTAGAAAGGAATAGAACTTCCGGCTCCTGGCGAGAGCCAAAATTCCTGCCCCTGGAGAAGCAAGAGCCTTGTCAAATAAGAGAACAAACCAAGTGGTTTCATATCTCTTTGCCCAGAAACACTTTCAGCCCCTCTCCTTAGCTTTGCCAAGCCAGTGCAGAGAGCAGGCTTTTTGGTGCCAAGGATCCCTTGGCCCCATGCCCCATCTGGGGAAAACTCGGGATAATGGGAGAGAGAGAGAGGGTGGGGAAAGTCACAAAGGTCAAAATGACAGTCTCTCTGCTTTAGTATCTTTGACAGCAACTGGTTTGGATATTTCTTGAGTTTTCTGCTGAAACTAACTCCTTAAGCACATTTTGTGGACACTGGCAGGTCACACATCACATCCTGAATGGTCAAGCATACAGACATGGCTGGAATTAAAGCTACCAGCTTGTACAACACTTTCCTTGTACAGGACATCTTCATTCTTCTCCAGAAGAGAAGGACGTGGACATATGGAAACAGAAATGCTATTTTCCTGCTGTTCCTGATGTGGACCTACCTCTCTCCCCTTTCTCCTGAAACTTGCCGGAACATTCTCATCCTAGGTACATCTATGTCCATTGGGAAATCAAGACAAAACGAGCAGTGGACAAACAGTGTCTTTCCTCTTACCTTTTATAAGCTACTGGTATTTCAATGTCAGGAGGCAAAATGAAGTTTTTAAGCAGGAAGTCTTGTCTTTGCTCACTTTTTAAAGATGGCACAGTGGCAATCCAGTGATTAAAGCTCATTGTCTGGTTAATAAAGCTGCTGGTCCACTGTGTGTCCTGCCATTGTCACAGTTCCTTCTTATTCAATTAGGGATGGCGCACTGGGGGATTGCTGCCTGGTTTCCATGGACCTAAGACTTTTATTTTTATCACATGCTAACTTGGTTTTAAACAAAGCTTTGAAGCTTCCCAGGGCTAATCTTTAATGAAAATGGAGAGGCAAATAAAAAGGCTGAAATAAATTCCAATGAAAGCAGCGAAAGTGCTAATTCAGGGCAGATAGAAGAGGATGAAAATGAAAATGGAATTTAAAAGTAGCAAGGATAGCTTCAGTAAAAAAGAAATAATCAAAATTTGACAGTGATGAGATTAGTTAAAAACAGTTTGGTCTTCCATTTTATGAACATTCTCCACTGCTTCAATTAGCCTTTTTATAAGCAGAAGATTAAAGATACCAACAAGAAATCATTATTAAAGTATATGGATAGCTGGGTCTGAGCAATAATGCTAAAACTGAGAACATAAAAGCTATTATATAAAAATCCTTCTTCTCATTTTTCATATTTTATGGAAATATCTTTTCACTGAAAAACACAATCCACATTGATCCCAATTCAAAAGAGATTATTTTTAGAAACTATAAAATATAACCAATCTGGCTGTAGTTATGAGAAGTTCAGACCTGTAGATGTGTTTGAGAAAAGAGTAGAAAATAATATATTTGGTCTTTAAAATCTAAGGATAAATACAAGGCGGGTTAAGATTAATCAAGGGCTGAAAACACTATGCAAAAATAGAGCCATATTTCTGGTTCTTTCAATGAACCTTCCAAAGGGGTATCATCCATACTGGAACCAAAGTAGAAAATAATGACATCATTTGGGTTAGTTTAAAATTTACCACAAAAGTAACAGATTTTTCCTAATAATTAAATTTTGTATTCCCCAAATTACAGAATACAGATAATTTTCCCCCTTACAAACCTATGCTTTTCTCTTTCCTCATCTTCCTGGGTAGCAAATATTTTCCACTGGAAATGGGCAATGATTTTACTGCGGTTGTGAATAGTTATAATTCGCTGATTTGTCAGAGATATGTAGGTTTTCTCAATGATCAAAGAATTCTTGTCCAGCCTTATATTCATGTCTATGGCAGCTCCATATAAAGAAACAAATACCTCTTCACCTAGAATTAACAAATTATAAACACATTGTGAGATTTATTCTAGAGTGATACTATAGGCCATTTTCTTCCAAGCTGGAAATAGAGAAAATGACACAATCATTAGCTACTTCATTCTGGTTCCCTGCCTTAATTCAGAGATGAGATGTCAAAGAATTTAGTTTTCCAGTTGTAGAGCATCAAACATCTTATTTATACCCAATTAAAAATACATAAAATAGGAATGTTATGATGAGGATGGCAAGGTTTTATCTTCTTTGTAAGATCTTAAAAATCCTAAAGCCTGATCAAAGAACACTTACATTATGCATATCCACCATATGCCTCTCTTTAGCTCAATCATGAGAGCACTTGTTCCTTGAAGTAACTTACCAAATGTATCTGGTGTTACTCTACATGAGAGCAAAAAAGGGGATCAGGAAGGAAGATTCATTAACTTCATTAGTAGAAAACTATTTTAAAAGAACCACACCTCTAAGTCGTGGCAATTAAAACAAAGCAAAAATTTGAAACACACATATGTAAACTATGTCTGGGTAGTAATTATATAGAAAATAAAAACCGTAGCACTGTCCTCCCATTGTTCATCAATTTGCTCGAGTGGGCACCAGTAATGTCTCCATTGTGAAACTTGTTGTTACTTTTTTTTTTTTTGGCATATCGAATACGCCACTGGGAGCTTGCCAGGCTCTGCCGTGTGGGCAGTATACTCTTGGTAGTTTGCCGGGCTCTCTGAGAGGGACGGAAGAATCAAACCCAGGCTGGCTGCATGCAAGGCAAATGCCCTACCCACTGTGCTATCGCTCTAGCCCAGAAAATAAAAATATAAAGGTAAATTTTCTGTGCAAATATTAATCTTTATTCACCATAGTAATCTAAGTTCTACCACAGTAATTTAACTTCATTCAAGATTTAGGACTCTTCTAAGCAGATACAAACCCATAAACTATGTTCTACCTAATTTCTGCAGTGTCATGGAACATCACTCTGACATCAAAGTAGAAAAAAAATACTTAAATACTATTACAGCTCTGGTGGTCTATATTGCTAACATTTTCATCAGAATCCAGAAAGTATAATCACTTACAACTTATCTTTTGGCAAACATTTATCCTTCAGTATGGACTGAGCTGCCCCTCAGTGTTCTGACTGCTCTACTACAGGTCTTTGAACTTTGAACTTCGAATACAGCAAAACTTCCTCCAAAGTTTAAAGAAAATGAAGAAACCCCTTGAGAATAATAAGATTCTTTTGGAAGAGAAAATCTAAGAAAGATGGGTATAACAGAAGGTGGAGTGGGTGGAGGAACAAAGTGCTTATTCATAGAAATAATAATTGAGAACTCCCAAAGCTAAGTAAATATCTTACCACAAAAGCTATGAGAAGTTGAGAGGACACTCAAATTCTAAGTTTAAAAAGACCTACGCCAAGACACATCATTGTTACATTAATGAAAGTTCAACAGTAAAGAGCATTTTAAAATTCCAGGGGAAAATACGCAACTTACAAAGGCATCCTAATCGGGCTATTCTCAGGTTTCTGGAACTGGTGCTGGGAATGGGGAGGCAGCCACACCTCTACAAGCATGGAACTGCAGTACTGGAAAGCAGTGAAGAAGGAGTGACTGACAGACCATGCCACATATAAAAATATGCCCAAAGGCAAAGGAGGTGAAGTAACACGCATGATATCCTATCGGTAACAACACTGTAAGTCACAGTGCCTAAAAGGGGGTGGGAATAAAGAAAAAAGTGCCCACCATAGAGTAAGGCTTTGGGGGTGGGAAGGAAACTGGGGACACTGGAGGAGGGAAGTGGATATTGGTGAAGGGGTTCCTACTGGAACACTATACTCTTGAAACTCAACCATGAATGACTTGTTATTCAATAAAATGTTCTTAAAGAGAAATATTTTATAACCATAAAAAAGTAGAATACTGTGCAGATATTTAAAAACTACATGGAAAGTTTTCATATGAAAACCATAAAGCAGACATGGATAAATGGGATTTAAATGAAAGAAGCAAGATTGAGAATAATTCAGAGTAAGTTGTCTTTTGATAAGATGGGAGAATATTATACATTCATGTTGCATAGATTTGCATGAAAATGCTGGAAAGAGAGATAAGAGGCAAAAAACCCCAAAAAATAGTGAGATGGGATGAATGAGGCAGGGTGAAAATAATACTTTTTTAATATCAGAGGGTTGAATGTGAATTTTAGAATATGACTATAAAACATGAGTATACATTACTTGTTCTAAATTTTAACATAAAAGACTTAAAGAGTTTACACTAAGCATGCAAAGCTGCTTGATACGGCTAATAATTAGAGAAGTATAAAATACTATTTCATAAACATCGTATTAAAAAAAGTTTGCTAATGCTGTTTTAGCAATATACTGGCAAAAGTGTGGAAATTGAATTTTATTATAGAAATACAAATAGGTATAATCACTTGACTAATTTAGTATCCGGTACAGTTCAAATTAAATTAACCCCAAAATTCCGTAATTGCTCTTCCATAAATTTATCCTTGAGGAAAGTCCCACACAGCGAGAGAAGACAGACAAAGACAGTTGTATAGTTTGTAACTGCAAACAAGGAACATAATACAGCAAGAGAATAGAAAAATTATAGTATTTTTTCACATGCTAGAGTATGGTGCACTAGTTAAATGAATCAGAGTTGGGGATTTAAACAAAGAGAAACATTTATTTTTGAACTGAATTATATATTTGGGGGATAACAAAATACTACCAAATACATGATTCACATGAAATCCGTGAAATCTATTTGCTTCTTTTTTTCTGTTAAAAAATCAGTTAGCAAGTAATAACTTTTATTTATAAACTGGTACAAGAGTAAATTTCTACTGCATATTTTTTTATTTTTTAATTGAATATCTGTGAGATAGACCGTTAGAAAGCTGTTCATGTTCGGGTTTCAGTCATACAATGATCCAACACCCATCCCTCCACAGGTGTACATTTCCCACCACCAATGTCCCCCGTTTCCTTCCCACCATCCCCTAACATCACCCATCCACACCTCCCAGCCTGCCTCTACGGAAGGCACTTTTCTTCTCTCTCTCTTCTTTTGCACATTATGGTTTGCAATACAAGTACTAAAAGGACATTGTGTTTGTTCAGGGAGTTTAGGAGTAGGTTTTTATTTTTAAACTTGGTGGCAGCTTTGGGGTATGGACATAACTGCCATCCAGAAGTGATGCAGGGAGGTGGTAAAGGTAGTCCATCCTGATGCCAAGAAAGCCTAGAGATTTTAGTCACAAACCTGCATACCCAAATTTTCAGCATATTATTTCTCTGTGAGGTTTGTTCTGAGGAAATGGAGTCCAGCCAGGGGCATGGCAGCGATTTTGGAGTGTGGAAGCAAAAGGCTGCCAGGGTTCTGCTTCGGTGGGTACCAGGCTGACCCGCACCCCCTCCAATTTACCCTCATCTGTTCAGCCTTGAGCAGATATAAGATTAACTGTGGCTTTTGATCTCTCTCAAGACTTATTTACAGGTCTCTGAAGCTAGGCAGATAAATGAGCTTGTACAGCTGAGCCAGAGGTGGTTTATGGTCATTGCTCTCACATACCTAACTTCAGGCTGTTTAATTTCTCGGGAAAACTGGTCACGTGTTGTTGGGGTCCGGCCAGTGGTAAGTGACAATTTTGGGGTATCAGGAAGCCTGAAGGCACCAGCAGGCTGCTGATACACTCGCCCCGTGTGTACATGTTGACCTGCTGGCAGCACTGTACCTCCCCCTCATTTTTTTCTTACTGAGTCACTGTGACATAGACCATCACAAAGCTATTCATGATTGAGTTTCAGTCATACAATGTTCCAACACCATCCCTCCACCAGTGAACATTTCCCACCACCATGACCCCAGTTTCCCTCCTGCCACCCCCTGCCCCCAGTCTACCTCTATGGCTCTATGGCAAGCACTTCTCTCTCTCTCTCTCTCTCTCTCTTTCTTTCTTTCTTTCTTTCTTTCTTTCTTTCTTTCTTTCTTTCTCTCTCTCTCTTTCTTTCTCTCTTTCTTTCTTTCTTTCTCTCTCTCTCCTCTCTCTCCATCTCTCTCCTCTCTCCTTTTGGGCATTACGATTTGCAGATTTGCAATACAGATAGTGAGAGGTTGTCATTTTGTTCCTTTACCTACTTTCAGCACGCAGAACTGACTGACAGCAATTTGAACTGCTCACTGAAAAAGTGCTCCTTCCCAGAAATATAACATGAACCATTGTATTCTTTTTGAGAACCACCTACTATTGATATTTTCAGCCCTAACAGGTCCTTGAAAAGGGTACTCCAACCTCAAGCTACCTAGGAGACCCATCTTGAGAAAGGCAGGAAAGGCCTTTCAGTTCTTATGTGTCTGTTTTGTGCCTTGCAGTGCCAATTCCCACTGGCACCTTTTCAGCATCTGCACTTGGATGCTGCAATCACAGTGGATGAGCTTAGTCATAGTCATTCATTATGGCCCCATGAAGGCAGATTTTGTGGACAGTCTCATTACCTTTACCAGCTTTGCTTTTATAAGTCAAGCAAAAACAAGTTTGAACCAAACTAATTTTATTGTCCGACTCTCCCCTTGATGAAGTTAGCAATTGACACGATCCACTTTATATGGTGGTGTCAGTCCTCCCAGTTAGCAAAAGGACAGTAAATAAAATATATGAGTGGAGCCAGAGACTCTCCAGGGAACTAGGGAGTTGATGGAAAGAATGTTTCTCATCTCTTGGTCACAGTAGGGTCAAATTAACCACTCAAAGTGAACTGCTGAATCAAACTTCTCTGGAGTGTTTGAGAAACAAATGACTCAACTTGACCAACGCACAGCTCACTGGTGGCAGTGCCAAGATCTATATTCCTAATATGCACAGAAGGGAGTGTAGGATTGATGATGAAAAGTGTGTCTGCTTCAGAGGGAGCCAAAGACTTGGATTCAAGTTCTAACCGTACTTAGTTGGACAGGCATTAACACCCCAGCCTCA